TTTTTTGGGTTTAATTCGATGTTAATCGAGTTTGTTGGATTTAAATTTGGGTTTGATTTTGGATTTAAATCGATTTTTCTGGGTTTATTTAATTGATTATTGGATTTTTAATTTGAGTTTTGTCAATTTTTCTGGGTATAATTATCTGAATTTAATCGGTTTTGTATTTTAATTCGATTTTTCTCGTTTTTTCTGGGTTTAATTAATCGATTTTTTTGGGTACATGCATGTGTCTTTTGGGGTTTTTTTATTATTATTTTTGAGTTTTCTGGGTGTTTTTAAAAAAGAAAATTCGGAGATTTTGTTTTTTTTTTTCAATTTTTCTTATAATTTTGAGTTTCTGGATTTTTTTTAATTATTTTTTTATTTTCAGTTCGTGAGTATTTTTGGGGTTTTTTCTTTTTTTTTTTTTGGGGGGGGGGTTTCTGGGTTTATTTTCTTGCTTTTAATTTCGTGATTTTCTGGGTTTAATTTTCGTAATTTTAGTTTATTGTGAGTTGTTATTAATTCGGTGTTTTAATTGATGTAGGTGAAGAATCAAAGTGTTGATTTTGGAATTTTGATTTCAATGTTGTAATTGTTTTTTTTTTCGTTCGATGTGTAATATTTTTTTTCTTCGATGTTGTAATTTTTTTTTTGGATTTTGATGTTGTAATTTATTTTATTTTTTTGTATTTGTAAAATAACAATTTAATCATCAATATATTTCTGATTATATTTCGTATTCAAGCTTGTTATATGTTTCTGATTATATTTTGATCAATATATCTCTGATTGTATGTGTGGATAAAGCAAAATAAAAAAATAATAAAAAAAAACATGAATTGGCACCGGTTAACCGGTGCCAATTGACTTTAATTCCCAACAAAAAAAAATAGTTATGGCACCGGTTAATCGGTGCCAAAATCATTTATGGCACCGGTTCGTGCCATTTGCTAATTTTCTACTAATGATACCATGCCCCATTCTCCCACAACAAAAGTAAAATAATGGATGTCGTTCATACTTCACCTCAAAGCACTCTTCTATACCACCTCTCATCTTCAATCTAATGTCCTTTACAAGGGGCTTGCGGACGTCAACGAGAACACGGATGCGAATTGACTTATCAATTCCCATTCTTGCAGAAGAATCCATTTTAACAAAAACACCAATTTTGTTGCCAATTTTCTCCACACTAATCATATTAAATCTACCCTTAAGAGGTAAATTATAGACCCTAATCCACATCGACAGATGAATGAGTTGAATGTCCGAGGGTTTGATTGAGTTTGCGGTTTCCCCAAAGAAGAAGGGCATGTTTGTCAAAATGCCAAGGTTGTTCATCGATGACTCTTTGTTTATCTTTCCAATGGTGAAATTGGAACATAAACATATTTTTTCCAATGGTACTTATCTCCACTCTATGCTTCGGTTGCCAAACCCCTTTCATGGTCGCAATAAACGCATTGTTATTGATATTACGAGTTGTCTAGATTTTCCCAACTAGAGCCAATTCAATTCAGGCATCATCATCTTCTCCTCCATCAATCTCCTATTCGATTGCTTCCTCCAAAACATCTTCATTTTCCCCAATTAAGGGTTTGTCCCCACGATCAACATTCTGCCCAACCACTATTGTGCTATTGTCTTCCGCCATTAAAAGAGAAAGAAAAAGAAATTTGAAAAAAAATCCAGAAATTAGTCCACAACTCGATAGAGAATCGAGATTGAGCCTTGAAAATCAAAGGAAACCTTAGCAAGAGAACTACGAGCTTGTTTGGCATCATTTTTGGTTTTCAGTTTTCTGTTTTTTTGAAAACCAAAAACCAAAAACAGGAAACAAGAAAAATGTGTTTCCACTTTTCTGTTGTCAGTTTTCAAAATAATCATGTTTTTAATAAGTTTAAATAATTTTTGATTCATTTTGGGACATATATCACATACTTTTAAAAAACAAAAAACCAAAAAGCAGAAAACCGCAACAATGCCAAACGACCATAAATCGATTTTCTTCCCTATGAGTTTGAGTTTCAATAAGAATGCTAGTTCTTACTGTTCATATGTTATGATGAGTTCGAGTTTCAATAAGAATGCTAATTCACCCTGTTCATATGTTATGATATGAATATACCACACCAATTCCTTATGTATGGATGATGAGATTCCATTGATACAGAGCCAATTCCAATAAACTTATTGGAGGGTCCCATTGGCGTGCATCCAGTAGGAATTGAACCTACGAATTCGCCAATTATGAGTTGGGCACTTTAACCATTCAGCCATGGATGATTAGCGGGGATCCTCGTACATGGTGAATAACCAAATTCCAATTGAAATGAAATCTTTAGGATAAATTAATGCAATTTACCCTCCCAAGGAAAACCTAGAGGGAACTCCTTCCGTATCAAATAATTATTACTTTTAGATTAAAATATCACCTCGATGATATATTTCAGTGTTATTGGAAGTAAACCATATTTTAGAATAAGACGTCTTAAATTGTTTAGAACGTGTTTGATTGAACTAAAATAACTTAAGTATGAGTGATATGATACTTTCGCAATTTTTTTTATAAAAATAATATTTAATTATTAGCAATTATACAAATAGCTGAATGGATTTTATATGACCCACCTTTCTTGTCATCGTATTTTACACCATGTTTATTTTCAATTACTACGACATCTCTTGGCAACCGAACTCGGAACGAGTTGCATGCCTGCATCGACTCCGGCGCCGGTGCGAGCACCAAAACCACCTCACATAAATTTAAATGACATTGCAATGCACTCTCTTTATAAACGCATTTACAATTGGATCTGTAATACTGGTTGGGATCTAATAAGTCAATCTTTGCTACACTACGTCATACTTGCACAGTTATCGTCAGTTCTTGGAAATTTTCTTCCTTTTCTGTGTTCACTTGTATGTTCTCTAGACAATTTTGGACTGGTTGAATAGCAAATTTTCTAGGATGAGTTAGGATAATTTGCAATGACTCGTTAGAAAGATATTCATCGTAATTGGTAATTCATTTGATAATTTACTATTCTTTCTTAATTTGCAGGTGTCACATTATCATTATTTACGTTTCTTGATGATGAAATTAAAGGTGAAATCTCGAATTTTTATTAGAAATTCTACGTAATAATTTAATATTTTATCATTGTTTTAGACATACATAATCTTCCTTGATTATTTTGTCGAACCTTTGAAATTTATGTTTTTTTTTTTTGTTTTTGTTTTTTTAATATGTATTTGTTGTGAAAAATAGTAGTTTTGGTTGCATTTAAAACCCAATAATGGTAAAAACCACAAGATTAGTATTCCAAAACTTTCACTATCATTTAATAGTAGGATTACAATATGACTTTACCCAAATTGGATGAATAACAAAATTTTCTCTCAAAGTACAATTGTGGAACACTCACTATCTTTAGATTAATAAAGATGATCTCAAACTCCTCATTTCAATCTAAGAGAGGTTTTCCTCTCAATGCTTGTTGTGGAATGACTTGTATATCAAGCTCCTCCAAGGTTCTCTTATTTATAGATGTCCAAAGCTAATCAAGAATCTTCCACACTAATGTAGAGAATTACAATCAATCATCAATAACATAATATTAAAATAGACACCAGGAATGACACGTGTCAATTTTTGGTTTTGTTTTTTCCCTCCAAAACCCCCACCTCCATTTTTAACAAAAAATCTTTTATATTTGGAAAATTTGTATAATACAACTATTATAATATTATTCCAAATCTCATATATAATCTTTTTATAAAATGTATTTTATGTTCTTAATTTTTTCATATACATTTACCTAAAATATTATTCTAACTCTTTTAATTACTGAAAAAGTGTGCCACAAGCGAAATAAGCCCTAGAAAGATAAGAAGTTTTAAAAAAGTTCTCCTTAGTTTTAAAAAAGTTCCATCCCAATGTAATCTCATAAGTTCAATAATGCACTAGGCAATCCTAATGTACTAGATACCCCTTGGCCCTTGCAATCGACCATTTGAAGTTTTATTTTAGATCATTGTCAATTTTGTTCATAATCAATTAAATTGATGTTTTATGTCAGTAGAATTTCTAAAACGTTGAAATGGATGATAAGTGTGAGCCGATGGTCATGGTAGTTTGGGAAGAAGCAAAGGGAAAATAAGAGGTTTTGAAGAGGTCACTAGAGGGGCAATGTCTGAAAATTAGGTCAACAATCAAATTTTTTGTTCAAAAATCCAAATTCCCAAATTTTTATTATATTTACTTTCAAGATCTTAATTTTTTATTATTGTTTTTTTGTTTTTTATTTTTTATTTTAAAGAACATTTACATCCCTCACAAAACATCATTCTAACAAGTTTTCCACATAAAATACTCATAAAATACCAATGTGTAAGAACATAACTCATTTGTATTCATGTATGCAACATTGATCGATTGAGGTAGACAAACCAGAAAAACAAGACAAAACCCTCTCGTCACAACTCACAAGCTCATAACAATTAAAGAAGTTCTCTCACAAGAGGTCTACATTAAAAAGGTCATTTCTAACATATCTTCTAAAAAAAAAAAGGAAAATTTAGTCAAAATCTGCTCGTCACAAGTCATGTCTACTCAATAAAGTTAGGCGAACCGATAAAACTGGACAAAACCCTCTCGTCACAAGCTCACAAGAAGAAATCAATCATCCAGTAAAAAAAGTAGACGCAGTGAACTACTAAAGTCCCACAACACCCACTCCCTCTTAGGCTCTTACTCCCTCCTAAAAAATGTTCCATTTTCATTTCTTCTTAGATCCAAAATAATACGAGGAAGCCCCAATTAATCTCTGGGATAAACAAAATTTGTTTATCACATGACATTTTTGTAAATAAATCAACAACTTTATCCAGTCATCATCACTGTTGGACCTACTTTTATGAAAAAAGTTGTTGCTTTATTTACAAAATTGCCATGTGATAAACAAATTTTGTGAATTTTAGAGATTAACTTATATTTACCCAAATAATACTCCATCAAAATTCTTCGTTCAAAATAAAAATCACTCACTACTACACTCTCTTTCTCTCTCATCGTTTACTCTTCCTTTGACCTTCATCACTCCAGATTCCGATGAACCACAACTCTCGTCCGAGGTTTCCGCCGGGGATCGGCAACGGTCGCGGCGGTTATGTGCAGCAAAACCCTAATTTTCAAAATAGGCCGCCATATCACCACCAACAACCGCAACAGCAACCTCAGTATGTGCCGCGCAACGCGCCGCCGCAGAATCAGCATCAGTATCAACAGCAGCAGCAGCAGCAACAAGTGCAACAACAGCAACAGCAACAGCAGCAGCAGTGGATGATGAGACGTCCTGCTAATTCTGCTACTGATGGTGGTTCTAATCAGTCTTCTGTTAATCAAGTTGAGAAATCTATGCAAACTGCTTCTTCTGGTGTGGATTCTAGGTATTGTTTTTTTTATCCCAATTTTAGGGTTTTTTGTTTGATTGTTTTGTGATTTTTGATGTTTTTGGAATTTATATGATATTGTGTAACTGTTGAATGAGGGATTGTGATTGTGGTTACTTTTAATTGATTTAGTCTCTTATGGAGTAGAATTGGAGAGTAAGATTTGGGTTTTTTCAGACTTTGAAATTTGGAGTTGCAAGTAGTGGAGCGTTTATTCAGGAGACACTTTGCGATTATTGATTCAATTTTGGGGTTTTGGAAGTTAGAGTAAGAGTGAAGATCTGTTTTAGGGCATTTGATTTGGTTTTAGAGTGGAGACCTGATTGAGGACCTTTTGAATCAAGTAGATGTTTGATTTGTCTTGTGACCAAGTACTGCTTGCAAAAACACCCTTTATGTTGCCTGGACTCTTGGTTCTCGCTTTGTTTACCTTGTTTGTAGCTGGATAGGATGACTCAGGTAAGCTGTGACATTGTGAAGCAGGTAAAATTGGATGGAAGTTTGGTTTCTTAAAAGAGATGGGTATTCTCCTTACGACAACTATTCTTTGCCAGAGTTCAAGTATCTGCAGGTCCTATCATGATTGACTCTTGACTTCTTTGATTGCATTCCGATTTTTACCCTCTCAGCCTCTCATCATTAATGGATGGATAAGTCATTTGTAGGTTGTCAGTGTATTTGTGCTGAATTGTTATAATATTGGGGTTCGCTTGCTCTGACTATTTCAAATGGGATAATCGACATAATTATTATAAGATGAGCATCTAAAAGTATATGTTCATTTTGATGGCCGTATTTAGAATTTTAAATGAAGTTCTTTGTTTGTATAATACATTAGTACTTGAGAGGGGATGGAGTTATGCTTCAGGTGGATAATGTGGGGGTTTGGTGCTTGAGGACTAGATTGAGATCTTGGCATTTGGTTGTTATACTTATAATAATCTACCATTTACGATTTGTAATGCTACATCCCATGTCCAAAACACGCCTAGGTGGCTATTTTCTCATTTATGTTATAGACTACAATCTTGAGACTAATAGGTAAATGGTGAACAAAATTTCAAATTTGATTTGGTATGAAGGTACTCTATATTACCATGATCCTACATTCCCAAATGCTATCTAAATCCTTATCTAACCAGCATGTTTGTGGCAGTGTTAGTGTAGACTGTAGAGATATAGTTTGGGTGTACAGTTCCTATGTAAAGTTATTCATTTGTGTACAGGCTAACAAGCTATTACATATTAATGGTATAATCCATGCTTTGTGGTACATGGTACAATGGTTCACTTCTAGACTAATTTTACCAAATCATGTAGTAAATTGTGTTGTTGTACCAATTCCACTTACTAAACCATACCACGACTTAGGTTAACCTTTAATGAACATAAATCATGGGGCATTTATGTAAATTAATTGTGAAGTGATGGACTTGAGGTTATAAGAGTTAGTGAGGCAGTATTTTGTTGAATTTAAGTTATATGGGCAATTATTATGGTATTTTATTGAAAAAGGTGATAAGAAAGTAGATGATGGGGATCAAACTAGGATATTAAATAGTAAAAATAATGGGTTCTTTCTTATATAAGGTAGTGAGTAGAATTTTGTAATATTTGTTTGCTTTGAGTTGATGATTTTGGAATTTTATAGCCATATTGTATTATATAGAGACAAATTGAAGAGATAGAAAAACTAAGAACTTACCGCCATTGTTCATTGGAAATTATTGTCATAAACAACTAGTTGGTGATTACAACTGTTCAATTTCTATATAAAAAGGCTTTTTTTAGTAGAGCTTGTTTTATAAGTTTTATGCAAAGTTGGAGGATGCTAAAGGTAAGGAAAATAATAGGCTAAATCAAGGGTTCATAAGGATTTGAAATTTATAAGATATCTAGGAGGAGACAAATGATGACCAAGGACTTTTATAATATGAGGTGCTAAAGGGTAAGAACCAAAGAATTCTTATTTTGGGTAGTGAAGGACAGATACAGGGAATCTTTTGGTGAGCTATGTTATAGAGTAGTAGGTGTTATTGCAGACATTTCATTTCAGAATCAAGAAGCTGGAATTGCATGGTAGGATTAAAATTTATAGGTAGAGAAAATTTTGAAAAAAAAAAAATAGGATAAGGAAAGCATTTGTGCTGGATGTTATTCTTATTGAGGTTTGGAGAAGCCTAGGGAAGGGTTTGGTTAATCCACATTCATGCCTATTTAAAAGAACAAAATAGATCAGTATATCGAGGAATAAAGCTTACGTCATACCATGAAATTGTGGGAAAGAGTGATTAACATTGATTGAGTAAATATACTAACATTATAATAAATTAGTTTGGGTTTATGTCGAGACAATATGAATATTAGTTGTCCATTTGCAGAGGAAAATAATGGAGTATTATAGGGCAAGTAAGAAGGATTTGCACCTTTATTTATTTATCTTATTTAGAGAAGGCATATGACAAAAAATCAAGAGGGGCTTTGGTGGGTAATGATGTAGAAAAGAATATCACGCAAGTATGGGCCTAGTTGATGGTATAGATCGTGATGTGAAAACATTTGGTAGTGGAGCAACAAAATATTTCCCTATTACGATCAGTTTACACTAAAAACTATCCTAACTACCCTAAGATCTTCCTCTTTGCAATAGTTTTAGACATAATAAGGTTTATCTAAAATGAGATATCATGGTGTTTGTTTTTTGTGGATGATATTGTGTTGGTTGTGATGAGACTAGAGTTATGGATACAAAGGCTGTAGTCTTGAGGTTTACACTAAGTAGGAGTTATTAGTTCCTGATTGATAACTGGCCCTGCCGGAGTTGTTAGTTCTGGGCGTTTGGCCAATGATGTTATAGTGCCTTGCCAATGCAGAAAGCTGATGTCCATCCTTCAACTTGGTAGGAAGCTAATATCCCATTGCACTTCTGAAGTTCCTTGGCAAGTTTCCCAATATCATTACTCCCATAGCGTTATATGTATCTTTGTGGAGAAATTTGGAAATAGATAGGTAGATATTGTAAAAAAAAAAAAAAATCGTTACTTTTAATTTGGGAGGGAGGGGGAGAGGGGGAAAGTAGAATGATATTTTTGGTCAAAGTTCATCTTTTAAATGAACTTTGAAAACATTGTGAGCTTAATCAAAGTCTTTATATTCAATATGGTTGTATACTCCTCTCCCCTCTGAAGTATATTTCAAGCTTTTAGTTAGCTGTGAAACTAATAAGGTTCAAATCTGTTCTTTTCTTTCAAACATATATGAGTTGTCTTCATCTTGTCTGCCACATGTTTTTCAACTTTATGTGCTTCCCACCACCCGTACCCCAAAATATGGTCTTGTAGTGCAAGTATGACACTTTATGTTAATCCAAGGTCATTGTTGTTTTCATTTTTGAGAGCAGACATATCATAAATATCTCATAACATGCTGATGGAAATCGTAAAAAATATATTGTTAGACTTGTATGGCAAACTGCTTACAATATGTTCCCTTAATTTGGAATCAATTTTCACATTATTCTTGTCTCTTAATTAAAGATTGTTAGGAAATAAGGGTGTAATTGTGTTTGATTACATTGGAACAAGTCAATGAAAAATAAGAACGAGAAAAACAATGAAGAAGATAAACAAAGAACACAAGAATTTAGGTGGTTTGGTCAAATTAGACCTACATTCACAGATGGGAAATTCGAGAGCTTCTTCACTGTAATGGAGAAAAAACGAGAGAATAATATAAGGAGTCTTAAATCTTAATGGCTCTATAAGGTGTGATCTAATTGATTAACTAAAGGTTTTTTTTTTTTTTTTTTTTTTTTTTTTTTTTTTTTTTTTTTTTTTTAATAGCATAAGGAAGCCATATTAAAACTCAAAATTGTTCCCCTAGTATACTTAACAGCCGTCATAGAAGTAATATAGTTTTAGGAAATTTCCATTAACCACGTAAGCTTAAATCCAAATTTAAAACTGATGGACGTGCCTCTTTTTGGCACGGATCAACGGATGTCCCTTTCGAGTCAGTATCGTCTGTTCTCTGTAGAATGACCTTAACTTTCTCGCTTTTTTTTTTTATCTAAATTGAGCATATGACCTATCGTTGGAAGTTCTTCCAAACAAGCTATGACCTTTAACTTGAATCACCTCAAAATCACTTATAGTTTGAGAGATATTTGCATTCAAAGTCAGCTCTACTATATTTTAAGTCACAAATTAACAAGGATATACCATGAATTTACTAAAAAACCCTTTATATCGGTTTTCTCATCCCCATCGTCTATCTTACTCTATATTAGTGAGGTATGATGAGAAGTCTAACCATGAATTATCTATGATTTTGTAAGCATGACAATTTTTTTTTAATACATCCCAAAGTATCATACTTATTTCCAAACATAAGGAGTAATTTTTTTTAATATACATAATACTTAGTTTATAAAGCGTGCCTAGGCATAATGGTGTTAGCGCCGTAAGGCATGAAAGTTGGGGCCCTAGCTATGTTTGCTGCAGAGACCTACTAATGGCGTGCACCTATGCGCTTCTTTCTAGGCTGCCATGTGACTTTGCATGGGTCAGATTTACTTCGATTCTACAGGAGAGAGAAACCCCATATTCCCCAATTTTGTTCAAAAAACCCTAGCTATCGATCACATGGCCTTTTTCACCTTATTATCAGAATTTTGTTTTTAGACTTATTTAATAGAAACTACTTTTTATTAAAAAAAAAAAATTGTGCCACACCTAAAGAAGGCATGCTCCTTCACCTCATGCCTTTTAAAACTAAGATATAATGAATGAGTGTTTTCAGATGAATTAGTGGTCAAACTTGAATCAGGAAAAAACAATAAAGGCTTATTTTGGAATGCAGGGAGTAGTATAACTCGTGTCTTGTTTGCCAGATCAATGAGATTGCTACTGTTTTTATAGTTATGGATGTCAAAAGTAATTGATATATAAATATCATGTACTTGTGTTTCTTTAATTCGATGCTAATTATGAAGGTTGTTGTGTTGTGACTTAATATTGCCTTTGGTTCAGTTCCCAAGATTGGAAGGCAAACCTTAAGCTTCCACCTGCTGATACCCGTTACATGACAGAGGTACTGCATATATACTTGCCAATTTATGCTTGTTTCACATCAGCTACACATTGGTGTCTGCATATTGCTTCCCCGGATAACTGTAGCTGGCTAAACAAGAATTGTAGATTGCCAAATTTTGGATTTTGAGGAGTTGTGGTTGCAAAGGAAAAAAAAAAAAATCAAGACTGAATTGTTTAACCTAAAAAATTATTTCCTGACTTTCAGGATTTTATATTAGAATAAGGTGATGTAAGTTAATTTTTTTTTTTAATCGAAAAAAAAAAAATCTTAACAAATATAAAACAAGGTGGACCAGGAGAACTGAAAGAGTCTTGTAACTAGTGGACTTGTAAGTAACCTTGAGAAAAATTATTTAGCAAGTTATCTCTTTTTGTGACAAGTTTGAATATGGCCTTGACGCATGTAAAAAATTATACCTAGTTAGTTGCAAGTCAAGTAGCTTGCCAGCTTGGTGTCGTGTAGCCTTTTTAAAAACAGAAAGTCTTCCTATTATATTGATTAAGATTTTTGCTTTGCACAATCATTTTAAACAATAGACGGATGAAAGAAGTGAAGGAGATGAAATCATGGGGGTACGATTAAGATTATAAGAACCTAAAATAGCTTTCTGTTTTTTTTATGATAGAGTCTCAAACATTTCATGCATTTCAAAAAAAAGCCCCCTCATCTTAGGGTGAAGTTTGTAGCTTTAGTAATTGATTGCGTTGCAGCGGGAATTGAACACATAATTCATTTTGATGCTGTCATACACTTATACGTGCTATATTTTGTTACATCCACTTTTCTTGAAATCTTAATGTTACCAAAAGACAATCTTTCATGATTAATTCCAGTATTATATAATGCTTTCTCCGTTTCATGTTAGTTGACGCAGTTCACTTAGGCACGTTTGTCAATGCTTAACTTCAAATAACATTATCTTCAATTATGTACAACCAAAAATTATACAAATTTGATATTTGGAAAATATATGTTCAGACTGTTCAAACATGACCCTTTACAACTATTTTTTTTTTTTGTTGGGAAAATTCACATTATGATGTCAAAGTAACTTGTATGAATAGTGGTGAAAGTCAAAATGTGTTCACTAAATTGTAATGAAGGAAATATAAGAATTGGGATAAATGGGAAGGAAAAGATGAGTTAGGGAAAACAGGCTTATGGCTTTGGAATTTGGAGTAGTGACACTGCCACTCTTGGTAAATTACATGAATTCTGTTTTCTTCTTGGAAAGCAATAATGCACTAACAACATTGAAAGAAGTTATATTATAAAGATACTTGGTGTTGTTGGGGGAAGTCGAGACATTATGAGCTTGTGATGTGGGTAGTGTATCTAGGCACGGTTGTTTGTGAATTCCTATAGAGTTTTGGAATGGGAGAAGTATTGGCGCATAGGACCTATTTGTTTTGAAACAAATAGGAATTTTAATTTGTAAATACTAACATGAGTATAAAGTACCGTTAAAGGAATTTTAAGTTGTAAATACTAACATGAGTATAAAGTACCGTTAAATAGGTAAATAGTATCATTAAATGCTGTAGTGGTATAATTATTTTTCTAATAGTACAAAAAAGCATGTAAATTGTACATCAAATGTTCTACCACTGTGAGATTTAATAGTACTAATAAGCAACCTATACTCTAATGGTATATATACATGCATAATGCATTACTGTACACAAAAGTATCACTATAACCATTAAAAATACCTTTATGAATGTCAAATTACTAATTTACCCTCTATGTGTTTCCAAAACACATAGAAGCTATGCGCCAAGATGATAGGTAGGTTGATATTCTGTTTTGCTTATGTAAGAATTTCGCAAAAAGTGTGGCTTTATATGCACCCTTATGTGTTATTATATAATCATGCTCCCTCCGTTTAACCTCATTTTGCATACGTATAAGTATATATTATGCAGTAACACATAGGGATGCAATTATATTGAATCCCTACTTGATGTACCCACGAATACTTGGTAAAAGTTAAGGCTGTTGTATCTCTATTTAATGTTATGAATCTTATGATTATACTTCGTAGTCCAAACATTAATTGAAAAATAAAATCTTTGATGGATTCTGATTTTTACTGAATTTTATCTCTAAGAGGCTCTCATAAATGCTACTTGCTGGTTGATTGTAAGCTGATGTATAAATCATCCTGGATCAGGATGTCACTGCTACAAAAGGAAATGAATTCGAGGATTATTTCTTGAAACGTGAGCTACTCATGGGTATATATGAAAAGGGATTTGAACGTCCTTCCCCAATCCAGGAGGAAAGTATCCCGATTGCGTTAACAGGAAGTGATATTCTTGCCAGAGCTAAAAATGGAACTGGAAAAACAGCTGCATTTTGCATCCCTGCTCTGGAAAAAATAGACCAAGACAACAATGTAATTCAAGGTGATAACCAGTATTAATTATTCCAGCATCTGCCCATTTGGGTAGCCTAACTAAGCTTTATTAGTTTCTGACTTTAAAAAATTAAATTATTCTAGCATCTAAGCATTAATGCCTCAGCTGCGTATTCTATTGATAATTACTTGTCTAGTAGCTCAATGGGTGTCCTGGTTGTTCACTGCAGCTGTTATACTCGTTCCCACTAGAGAGTTGGCCCTTCAAACATCACAGGTATGCAAAGAGCTTGGCAAGCATCTAAAGATCCAAGTTATGGTCACAACAGGAGGGACTAGTTTGAAGGATGATATTATGCGTTTGTATCAACCAGTGCATTTGCTGGTTGGAACACCAGGAAGAATATTAGATCTTGCAAAGAGGGGCATATGTGTTCTAAAAGACTGCTCCATGCTTGTAATGGATGAGGTACTTCCATATTTGCTTGAATATTTAGTGTTGATTCCTTCCACTTTGTTCATTCTGCAAGTCCTTGCCAAATGCACTCTCTGCCCAGACCTATCATCATTTTGAAGTATATAAAGTCATGTTAATCTTAACCTGCTAACCTTAATAAAATTTTTATTTTATGAAGCACGGAAATCCTGGGGGCAGGTGTGTTTTGAGCTCCATTTGCATTCCCCTCGATGTTTCCAGAATGTTCCAGGCGCTCAAAATGTGTACAATACTAAATTTAGGGTGGCATACAGCTCATTTCTGGATCTTGGAAGTTGAAACGTCTAATAGTGGTATTATGAGGACATTTTGAGACAGAATTGTAGCTCATGCATGGGTCTTATTTGTTTTATTATTATTCTTAGAAATGTCTGAAGAAAAAATAGTAGTTGCATTAATCTCCTGTGCAATCCCTCAGGACCATGAAGAAGGATCCTTGCCCTCACTCACTCTATTTTTGTCAGTTTGTTGGCTCTCTGTTAACATTTCTGGCCCAGGCTTCCCCAGAAAGGTTCTTCCAGCAAAATTAGAGTCAGTTGTCTGGTCAAAGTTTGTCTCAGACAACTTTCTTATTTTCTTTGTCTTCTTATTCATTATCCTGTCAGTTACCATATTTGTGAATGACCAGTGAGGCAAAATGTTTGGAAGAAGGGATGGGGGCTGGGGAGAGCAGTTGATATAGGGATGGCAATGGCCAATGGGTCTAGTTTACTATCCTAATTTCAGGGTATGGGTCTAGGTTCAAATTTTGAGATTTGACCATTCAATCACCCACCCTTAGTGCAACTGTGGACTGATGTTTTGCACTTTTGTGTGGGTGTTGGCCCATTTAGCTTTTTTTTTTTTTTTTGCTGCGCATTTTATGTAATGAAAAAAAAGGCAATAAGGTTCTATAAATAGTATGTGAAGGATCCATATCGGATCCTAGACCTTGGCCATACCCTGTTATACCCTATGGGTCTAAGTAAGGGTTTTAGTTATTTAGAGCCCATGGGTCAGTGTAGGGTATGACTACACATAAAAAAAATATAGGGATTGAGCTTATTGTGCAGGTGTTATCGAACCCGCTCAAACCTTACCCATTGTCATCTCTAATATGATGAGTAACTTTGCAGAGGTGGTGGTGTTGGGTATTTAATATTTATTTAGTAAAAGATTAATGTGGGTTTTTTTATGGTTATTTTATTCTTTTTAATATATTATTTATTTTTGTATTTTCTTGTTCTTTAGTTTTAAGGTAAGAATTTGTTTGTGTCCTTCTAGAGAAAAAGAATTGTTTTGTTTTTTCATAAAAGCAGCCCATGTATTTTTCTTAAAATGAATATTTCAAAATATATTGACTGACCATTTTAGACGCTATATTGCATTATTGATCTTGAGTGAATTCACTTAAAAGCTTTTTGAAGTTAAGTATCAATTGCTAAGCTATTCTGATTAGATATGGATTTATCTGATGCTCCATGCTTCTTTTCTCTTCAGGCCGACAAACTTTTATCCCCTGAATTTCAACCATCCGTGGAGCAGTTGATTCGTTTTCTTCCTGGAAACAGGCAGGTTTTGATGTTTTCGGCTACTTTTCCCGTCACTGTCAAGGATTTCAAAGATAGATTCTTGCAAAAGCCATATGTAATCAACCTTATGGACGAGCTTACTCTCAAAGGTATTACACAATTTTATGCTTTTGTGGAAGAAAGACAGAAGCTCCATTGCCTGAACACGCTTTTCTCGAAGGTTTGTCCTTGTTCTATGTGCTAGTGTGTTTCTACTGTTTCTGCATCACGTCTGAAGGCTCTCTGATATCGTTATGGGTTTGCTTTTCAGCTACAAATAAACCAATCCATTATATTTTGCAATTCTGTGAATCGAGTGGAATTATTGGCCAAGAAAATTACAGAGCTTGGTTATTCTTGCTTTTACATCCATGCTAAGATGCTCCAGGACCATCGAAATAGAGTATTTCATGATTTTCGCAATGGTGCCTGCAGGAACCTTGTCTGCACAGGTAATAGAAAACATGTGATCCAAATGTCATAAACAAGCCTTTCAATTGGTTTCTGGAGCTTTCTCTTATTCCCTTGATGATCGTTGGATGATTGTGTTTGGGCTATAGTACTAGGTTGGGTGACCATGGGAGTTCTTCGTTTTGCATATCCTCTGCTCCACTGGCCCTGTATTAGTTAGTTGGAAGTGTTGTAAGATACTCTTTAATGATTTATTGATTTGTGTGATTTGGTCAGGATATTGTTTGTTTGTTTATGTTTATGTTTATGTTTTTATTTTATTTTTATTTTATTTTTTTATTTTTTCTATGGGCTATAATGCTATATACCTGAAAGACGAGGATGGTCTCTTAGTTTGGTGGACATAGAACTAGGGTGATGTCTAAGCAATTGTGCTACTACCTTTCCTCTATTGCTTTCTTTGTAAGTGCTTGCAAGTATTCATTGGTTGTCATATTACGCTTGGACCAGTGCTTGATTGGTTTCTCTTGAGAATAACAACCGTGCCCTATAATTCTATGTGCAAGGATATTGGAAAAGCATAATGATGATTCTTCCTCCCTTCCTCATATCCTAGACGAGTGGAAACATACCTACTAATTATATCAAATGATTTAACCATAGTGGCATAGTGACAACTTGAAAAATAGAGCTACTTCATCATCACGTTCTAATTCATTTTGGGGGATATTAGATGTGACTGCTTATAGGCAATAGTATATATCCTCTTTTGGATATGTTAACACAAACTCTTCATTGCTTTCTGTAGGACTGGTGGCACCCTTTACTTTTAGTGCTGTGCTGATTAGTACTACTAGAATCATGTTTTTTGATCTTGTTGGATATTAGGGTGCCAGGATGTTGTTGATAATAGCTGTTTATATGTGGGATTGGAAGGGGCTACATGGATTTGCAATTTGATTTTGTTAGAAGTGAGGTAGAGCTAGACCTCTTAACATTTGATGGAGATGCTGTCCTGCTTGGTGTTGTTTGTTTCAAGGGTGACTTGTCTTGACCACAGCGGAATTGGAAATTACTTCTTCCGTTTTTTATTAGCTGCATCACTTTCTAAATATGGAAGTTTCAATTTAGATGCATCACTTTCCCCTTAAGTTAATAAATTCTTTTTATCTCTCTCCTATCACATGGTCCTCCTTTATTTTTCTCTCTATCTCTCTCTATTACAAAAATTTACCTAGGAGTCAACAATTACAAAAGTGATGCAACTAAATAAAAACGGAGGAAGTATGTGTTTGGCCCCTTCTGCTTTGCAATGGGTCTTAATGCCTAGACAATAGTCATTTATACTATCTCTTTGATTTTTAGTCCTTCAATCCTTCGCTTAAAAGCTTTTCTTGATTTGTACAAAGATTTTATGCTTGTGATGGATAGTAGTTTCCTCTTAAGTTTCCTTTAATCACTTCATCATTGCTTCTATTAGTTGCATTTTCAAGAATACAAAGGATTTTCTATTTGAATTTTTCCTGGTTACCTGAAGATTAACAAAACAAGCTAAAATAACAATCTCATCTTGTTGGATTGTTTGTGGTAACCCTGAATATGCTGCTCAAGTTTATGAATGGTCTTGCTATTGACAGCCACCTGACACTGTTACTGCTGTTGTAAAGTAATCATCTCTGGTTTTCTTTCTTCCCCTTTCTTTGTTTTCCCACTCTTTCAGCTCATCAATGATAAGTCTAGGGTTGTTCTTCTCCCGGAATCTTACCCTTTTTTCCCAACTCCCACTTTCATCTGTTTGGTCATTGACGGTGTTACCCAATACCCCCCACCCAATTGCAGAACACTTTTGCTCTACTCTACAATAATTTGGTAGCAAACGAACTGCGTTCCGCAATATCAGCATATTCCCAATTGCGGATTAGGTAACACTTGTCTTTGTAGAAGAGTAAGGCAAAAGTGTAGTGGAAGACCACAATATCAGAAGCAGCAATGGGAAGCAACAGTAGCAGTAGTGGCAACAGAGGGGTCTTTTAATGGTAGAAAGTGTTGTAGGTAGGTGCAAGTGTGCAACCACCACCACAGATTATAGTAGAGCTGTAGAGTAGAGGAGATAAAGTGTATGAGAGAAAGTTGATCATGAGAGAATTCTCGAAATTTAGTCCTTACCTTTGTGTCTTGCGGGAGCCAAATCTTGTCCAAATAAAAGGTTTGGTAAGAAGTTTTATAAATGAAATTATTCCTGTTATCCCTCCGCTGCACCCCCCCCTCTCCCCTCTTCCTGGTTTTGTTCTTTCTCCTTGCTTTCTCCCCTCTTCCTGGTTTTGTTCTCTCTCCTTCCCCTCTCCCCTCTTCCTGGTTTTGTTCTTTCTCCTTGCTTTCTCCCCTCTTCCTGGTTTTGTTCTCTCTCCTTGTTGATGTTTGTTAGATTTATTGGTAGTATGGAAAAGGAAGGAGTTGCACAAGGCATATAATTTTCAGTCCTTGCCTCACAACTGACGCTATTATTACTAATCAAACTCTCCTGCTCAGTTCATTTGTTTTTGGAAAACATAATCTGGTTATCTGGTCTATAATGTGTCACCCTGCCGTCATTTTGAAGGGAAAATTGAAAACAAAAACAGTTAACTCAGGGATACCATGGGCAATCCCAGAACCTCAGATTTGTTTCTGCTATTCATTTAAACTTAAGGGTTGCTGTACATAATTTCATTCAAACACTTTTTTAGTAAAGTATGGCTACACAGCCTTTTATAACTAGATAAACAAGTGTTCTATTGGTCAATTGGTAATTGAAGAGTGGAAGTGCGTCATATACTAGATTTTGTTATTATTCTTTGCACCTGTTAATTACACTTGCATTAGCACCCATAATATCTTACTAATACTTTGCTTCTGTGGCAAAGTTTCAAATTACATGCTGGATTGCTCTTTTTCCTACAAGTATGTAGGATAGCTTCTCTATATTTCTGATTTTTGGCACTAGTAGGTGTTATGTGCTTACAGCTAGTGTTTTTGTTTGGCCTTTTTCAGATTTGTTTACAAGGGGTATAGACATTCAAGCAGTAAATGTTGTAATCAATTTTGATTTCCCAAAAAACTCAGAAACCTATCTGCACAGAGTATGTTAGGTTCTTTCTTTTAATTTTGGTCTGATGTATGTTTTATCGTTCTCCCCTGGAATGTACTTAATATCTATCTGCTATACAGGTTGGTCGTTCTGGAAGATATGGGCACCTTGGATTGGCTGTCAACCTAATCACATATGAGGATCGCTTTAACTTGTATGTGTTGTGAATTGACATTCACAGGGAGTGCCAACAATTAAATGTTAAGCAAAATTCTTCTTTTTTTCAGGTACAAGATTGAACAAGAGCTTGGCACCGAAATCAAGCAAATTCCTCCGCACATAGATCAGGGTATCTACTGCCGGTAACAAATTGTTCTCTGGTGAGTTGGTGGGACAATAATCCACGTATGGTTTTTGTGGCTCCAAGTTTTTGTCTTTTCTTGTATGTTTAAATGTTTTTTGAGTATTGTCTTTTTCATTATTATAGCCCACATCCTTTTTTTTTTTAAAAAAAATCAGTGTTGGGGGAGGGGGGGTGGGGGTGGGGAGGGAGGTGTGTTTTCGTGTTAAGGGCTTTATGCGTTCAAAATGAATTCTGTGAGAGAGTAGCTACAGGTGTGAAGCTACTTTTGTTGAGGTAGTATTTTGCATGAATTCTGACACAGTTTGAGAGAAAGGGTTTTGGCATCAATGGTTTGGCTTTTTTTTTTTAACAGGATATTAAGGAGTACTTTTTATTTTTCCAAGAAGTACGAGACTGATTTGACTTCTGAACATACTTGAGTTATTGTGGTTTCTGAGGTGTTGTCCTCGCAATCACATTTTACTTGAGAGTTGAACTTTTATGTTGCAAGGATGTGTGCTGCTAATTTTAGTGCATAAACTGCCCCCCCACCCCCTGTAATACAATATTGTTTCTCTATGCTGAATATCTTAGTGTTGTGATCTGATGTGATTGCATTACTGCTGATTAAAATTGTTTGTTTGGGATTGTGAATTGAATTTTGGGTTATGACTTTGTGATTCCTTCTGAGAGTCTGTAGTTTAGGCCTTTAGGGTGCTTCCAATGATAGAGATTGCCATCTCCTGCTACTTGTGCTACTGGTTTTTAGTCTGTAGCTTGCTAACACTTGAAGATTCAAGAAAGTAACAATCAGAAGTTGTAGTTGCAAATAACAGCAAAATCTTTTTTTTGACAAACGTATCAATTTTATTTTTTTTTATTGTTCCCCTCGACTCACCTTTGTCTGTATTTATGTATGGCTGAGGTCCTCCTTTCCCTTTTTAGTGATTTCTCCACAGATCTTCCCTTCCTGTGCATGGGCTTAACTTGTTTCTTCTGATATGCTCTGTATGGAAATAACTTGCTTCTTCCTCAAAATATTTCGCCGGTCAATGCCACCCTTACTCCTGTTGCTCTTCTGGACCATACTCCCTCTACTCCTGTCAGTATGTATGGACCAATTTCTCGTTTGCTCCTGTTGAGTACTCTGTTTGATACCCACACTTGTCAAAATTGAAGTTGAAATAGTTTCTTCTTTATATCAGATGAACTTTGTTTCTTTTCGATATTCAAAATTGTAAGGAGTATATTGTTTGAAAACAGTTTTGCAGTTAATTTGTAGATAAATTGAAACGAAAGTGAATCTTCCCTTATGGGATGAAAGATATCTTGCTACATACATTCCCCAAGAATTCAAGTTTGGGATTTTATTAAAACTGGATATGAACATGTGATGATTGTGATCATAAAACATCTGGTCTGATGTAAACTAGCTTTGCTGCTTGAGCTAATTTGAGTTTAATTGGATAAAATGACGCAAGAGATTAAGTTGTTGTATCTAGAGTTTGATTAAACCATAAAGGTGTTTTTGGAATGAAGTTTATCAGAAATTATTAAGCTACATTAGCCTTTTTTTTTGGTTGCAGTTAGCACTTATAGTTCTTTTAATTGGGCATATGTTGCCCAGACTTGGACTTGGGTGTCGTGTCCGATACGGTGTTGGATCCTCTTATACTCTAGATTTTATAAAATCATAGAAGGCAACTATATATTTGGGTGTAGTTTTGAACTGTTGAGGATCCAACTTGCGTCATCTTACATACAGCAGGGCGTTGAAGACTTGAAGTAACATAGGTTGGGCCATATCTCATTGTAAGTAGTTCAATATTAAATTGAACAAGCATCCCCCCCCCCCTTCCTCCTCCCACTGCCCCTCTCACTGTTCCTCCCCCGTGTGTGTGTGCACACTCAAATGCACACATTTAGCCTCTGCCTTTTTGTTAGAAATGTCAAAGTTGGCAGTCTTGATGAGCACATTTCAATGGAAAAATGTATTTTCACATGCTAACTTTGTTAGAAATTTAGCTGGACTTGCTGTGGATAGTTGGTTAAATGGATCAGTGCGTTCCTTCTTCCTTTTTCCTTTCTATATTTGGCATTTTGCTTGCACTTGTATATTGATTTTATGTTTATCCCATTGCAATTTCTCTCTGTAAGGGTGGACTGATGTTTGAGCATATTTCTGGTTCAAGGATCAATGCAGAGGATGGAGAAGAAGCTAGCAACACTTTTTTAAGAGGCAGCTGAAGACCTGTGCTGATTTGTGAGATGATATTGAGGGGGTTGTCCATTAGACTTCCCTGAAATTGATGAAGCCCGACTGCTTGAAGACGCATGTTTGACAATTCACATATCCTAGCAGTGAAAAGGTTTCTGTAACTTCCTGTTTTTTTTCATATTCTTTATTCGCATTTAACTTTAGGCGTCAACTTTCCAAAAAAAAAAAACGAAAAAGAAAAAAAAAAGAAAAAAATAATAAAAACCAAAAAAAAAAAAAGGTAGGCATCAACAGCTTTAAACTTAGTTACATGTAGAGGGCTTTTAAATCTTGTACTTTTTATTTTTAATCCTTTTAGAGTTTAGACTGTGTATTCATCGTGTTGTTGCACATTAACTGTAAGGAGGTGGAATGTTACGTGATAGATGTTAAATTCCAGCAAACCACCAGAATCTGCTTCCATGTTCTGAGTGGAAGATGTTACTCTGGTGCATCAACCCTCTATATTGTGGTTTTTGTCCTCAAATTGTGCATCTTCGTTTGTAGCATTTTTTTTTTTTTTTTTTTGAAACCTTCAGCATATTCTCATTCGTTGTCATCGACAGCGATATAACTTTAGGGTGTTACTTGAGAAATGTGTTTCATGACTCATGATCGTCAAATTCATCACTGGTCGGTTCTCTCAATGGTCTATCTGTCTGTCATGGAGATGCTTTTGATCAGCAACGATACCACGTTTCTTAGATTGGAGCATGTTTTCGTCATTCTCTTAACTAGACAGTTATAAAGATGATGGAGAATGTCACCACATTCTTAATGTTTTGTGGAATATAAACTCTTTAAGTTAGCTGTCCAACTAAAAGGTACGTAAGTAATACCTCAAATGACAGCAAGCATAAGAAGAAACCAAAGATATTAAGAATTCTAGTTAGCACATGGGAAGTTGGAAGTTGTAGCCCTACCAACTTGGGTATGAATTGTCTGTCTTTAAGGGCAATTTTCAATAGTTGCAAAATTAATTTTGGACCTTTTATCATAATTTTCCAAAATGTTTTTATGATGAACGTTTGGCATGCAGTACAAGTGAGGTCAAATATATGCGAGATTGTGACCTTGTAGGATTTTTGTTTAAAGAAACAGGATTTAAAAAAAAAAAAAAATTTGACAAAAAATTTGTTAATGATGAATTAGTTATAAATAAATTCTGGATTAGTTAGTCAAAGTATTTTGTTGACTAAATCGTAGAGAGCTAGTTTGTGCGTGACATGATTTAGGATGGATCATTGTCTATTGAAACGAACCAGCCTTATTTGAGGAAATGTAATGATGTCGTGTAATACTCTTGAGACTTATCTGATTTGTAACACTTGTAAAGGAATTGGCAAGAGAATGATCATTAATACTACTGCTACATTATAAGCTAATCTTTATGTTAGGGCTATAATGTAGAGAAGAGTTGATCCTAGGTTTTCGGTACTATGCTTGAAGTTAATTAAGATAGTTGACATTCATTCATAATGTTTCATTTGTGACGTATAACAAATTGATTTTATTTAAAGTCAATGATTTGACATGTAATAATACACTTCCTTCGTTATTTTTATTTGTAACAGTTAAACTTATGCATTATTCACTTACTACCTTTGTTAACTTTTAGTTACAACTTTAGAATATTTTATATTTCACAAATAATACCCAAAGTTGCAACTAAAAGTTAACTGAGGTAGTACTTTACTTGGACTAAATTTGATGATTAATACTATAGTTAAGAAAAAAAAAGGTCATTTCATAAGATTTGCATCAATTAGTACTATTATAATACGGAGTATGAGGTTTTATTGATTGATTTTTTAAATACATAGTATATTTCTATTAACTCATTAAAAATATTAGAGGAATAAAATATATTGGCTCGTGAAATAAAATGTGAAACAACTTAAAACAGTTTAAAGAAACATCTAGGGAGTTTTCTTAATTTCTTTTATTGTTTGTGTTTGTCTTAAACTCAGTTAGTAAAAGTTGAAAGTTAGGGCAGTTTTTGGATGATGGGAGAAAAATTAGGAGAAGGTTAACCCTACCTCTAATGATATTGTTGGCACAACATTTGTTTTCTAAAAGTATGTCGGCAAAACATATCAAAATTTACACCCCTTCAATTTTTCACTTTTTCCCTAAAAAAATGGACAGGAATATCACTTAGTAGTTGGTACCTGTTTTTTTTCAAAAATGGGGCCTGAACTTCAGCCCCACCCTTCTTTAAAAATTGAAAAAAAAAATTAAAAACAATAAAAATAAAAGTGAAAATAATAAACTAAGATGATCAACATTACCCATAATAATGTGCAAACAGTCACACTGAGCATAATTTACTGATAAGTAATTAACCACACCAGACAAAATCTTCACTGTACACATTGACAAACCAAATTCAGACACCCAAACAATTGAAACAAAAAAAAAAAACTTATAAAAATAAATAAATTGCACAATTACTTTTAATTTTTTTTTTTTGTACTAGAATTAATTAATAAACCAGCAACTAAAAGCAGCCAAGAAATTTCTTTGGTACATGGCCAGTAACGCGGAATTTAGCAGCACATTCTTCTGCTTTAAGTAGCTCTTCTCCTTTATGGGCTTCAATCATTGCTCTCTTTTCTTCTGCTAATTTGTGCACTTCTGCCACCTTATTCTTCATTTTTTCTGCATACTCTGCCTTCTTTTTCTCCAATTTTTCCTGTTTCATTACACACGAGTTTCACTATTACTCCTTCCGTCCCAGAATATTTATAATGATACGACTAAAGGGTGCGGATATAATGTGACTATCATCAATTCATCAGTTATTCCTGTTTCATTACAGGATTATCACGAATACTCCTTCCGTCCCATATAATAATACGACTAAAAAGTGTTAGAGGAAAAAGGTTACATAATGTGACAATTATTTTCAGACCGTCCAAGTGTTTCAGAACTCGAAATATTATCAATACATGTAAAGGTAAGATTTGAAGTACCTCCATATGTCTGAGTTCAGCTTCTAATGTAGCTTTCTTGCTCTTTTCCCAGGCTTCTACGTCTGACAGCTTTTTGCATGCCCTGTACATTTAAAACCCAGCAAATTAGTCATTTTTGTCAAAGCATATAAATTCTGGCAACTCCACTTTCATAAGCTAAGATTACTTCAAATATGATTAACAATTCACATAAAGTTGACAACTTCACAAAACTTGCAACTAAAGGATGATAAGTACAACTATACAAGTTGTAAATAAAATTCATCAAACTATTGCTTAGTAGATAATCTATGATCTTAATACTCGTATCGATTTTCTAAAATGTGTTCATGAACACTTGTTAAGTTTCATCATACTCCGTATTTTATATTAAGGATATTTCTATAGTAGATAAACCGTAATAACTACCCATGGACACTCATTAGAAAAACCGTTCTATAATAATTAATACGAAGTATAAAACTATATGAATCACCCTCCAACAGTCCAACTGATGTACTAGAAGTATGGACAGGGGCGGACCCACCTTTAGTCATAGTGGGTCCAGTGACATAGTATTTTTTTTAAAAATAAAATATCAAAGAGACCCCTTATTATAGATAGGTGGTCTCTTTGATGCTGCTAACAACAAACAATATCAAAGAGACCGCTTATTAAGATAGGAGATCTCTTTGATGCTGCTATTGCTACAAAAGACTTGGTGTGTTTTTTTTATATATTAAAGAGACCTGTTATTTATATAAGAGGTCTCTTTGATGCTGCTATTGCATTTCACAATTTTTTTGCGTTACTTTTTTTCATTAAAGAGACCAGTTATATTTAATAACTGGTCTTTTAAGTTATCTCACTTTTTTTTGTATAATTTTTTTTCCCTTTTTATATCTTATATTTGTACAACCAATTTTAATATTTCCCCATAAAGCTTATCAATTAACTAAAAAATCATAAAGTTAATTCAATATAATAATTTTATTGTACCATTGATTTATAACATGTTATTTGTAGTATTTTCGACTTGTAAAATTGAATTCTTAAGTAATGTATTTGGTTAAGATATGAATTTTTGTGTCCTATTTTTGGATTGAAATCAATTTGGTATATGTATATATACATATATATGTATATATACATATATATATATTTTATACATATAAGTTTTGGATTGAAATTAATTATGAACAAGACATGGAAAAAAAATTGTACTTTTACAAATGATCAACACTATCTCGGAAATCCTAGATCCGCCACTGAGTATGGAGGTTATAATAAAACTAGTAAACAAAATTATGGTTAGCAGATACAATTAAAAAAAAAGTACATACTTGTTTTCTGCCTTGGATTTTTCACTTTCTTCCCATGCTTTGACAAGGGCCAATTTTTTGTCTTCTTCAACCTTTGCCATCACAACATCTGAATTTTGCAAAGATTAATAATAATTCAGTTTATTTTAATTTTAACCAAAAATACAGAATTATTTTTTGTAACCTAAAATTTAAAAGAGTAATAAATAAATAAAAATATTTTAAAAAAAAATGGTAAAATACCTCTGTCAATTGAACCTCCTGAAGGTTTTTTCTCAGGTGCAGGAGCTGGTGGAGGTGTTACTACTGGTACAATAGCCTCTGCCATAATTACAAAAATTAATCACTTATTAACACCAAAATTACTTCATATTATCAACAAAAAAAAACAAAAAAAAAAACAAAGAAATCAATTAATTAAATAAAACTAGGGGCTAAAGCTAAATTAATTATTTTTATTAAACTAATTCAACCCCTCAAAATATTTAGATTATAAAGCTTGGAAACTACAAAATTCTTCAAATTAAAAGAACTTTAGGCTAAAAAAAGTAAGCATTTAAACCAAAATAACTAACATTTAATATCACTTCAAATTAAGCAAAATTGAGTAATCAATTAAACAAAGGCTAAATATTGTAAGAAAATTAAACTAAACTAATTCAAACCTCACAAAATTTTCACTAAAATTAACAAAAAAATTAATCAATGGCTAAATACTGTAAGAAAATTAAACTAAACTAATCCAAACCTCACAATTTTTTCACTAAAATTAACAAAAAAATTAATCAATGAAAACAAACTATGGGTTAGAGAAGAAATTTTACTTTCATCAGCAGGAGGAGGCTTGGAGTCAGAATCTTTGTGATCAGAAACAACAGGAATCACACTCTTTTCTTCACTAACATCTTTTGATGTTTCTTCAACAGTTTGTGTTTTCACTTCTTCTACTTTCTTTTGTTCTTCTTCACCCATTTTTTCTGTTATTTTTGGTTACAAAAATTATGAGTTTTTTTGGTTGAAAATTGAAGAAAAAACCAGAAAGAAATGAAATGAGAGTGGTAGGAGAGAAAGAGAAACAGAGGAGATGATAAAGAGAGGTGGAGGGCAGGTTGAAATTATAGGAGTTTATAATAATAATTTATTGTATGATGTGCCAGGAGAGCATATCAAAGATACAGCTGATATTTACCAAACTATTTTTATTTTTATTTCTAAAATTATTAAAATTTCATCATTTTTTATTATAAAAATTATTATTTTGTTCTGTTGTGTTGTGTTGTGTGTAGGTATGGGTTGCGTTAGATACTGTATCAAAAATAGCATGAAGACTTGTACTATTTGTTATAGGTTTGTTATGGTTTGTTCTATAGAATCTTGACTTTCATGGAAATAATCTTCTTTTAATGGTAACCCTAACTAGGACTTCTAGGAAGATTTTGGGGTGGTCAGATGGAGAGATTGTTATATACACCCGGGTGTACGATACATCCAAGGGTATTTGTTTGTTTATTTGATGATAAAATGAGCAATAATCATCGAAATGAGCAAAAAATACTTTTGGGTGCACCTTACACCCGGGTGTATAAAATAATTTCTAGGTCAGGTGGCAACTGACAAATAAGTTGTTTTGTTTGGGTATGATGGTTGTTTTTTAGTAAGACTCTTCGATTTGAGTATTTGTTGACTTTGTTTTTAAGCTTGTGCAAAAATATATCGATTTTAACCATGGTCATTTATAAATTGCATTGCCACAGTTTTAACATAGTAATAATATATACTATACATTATATATTTACACGTAGTATATACCACTTTCTAAAATTTAAATTAACTAAACTAATTTTTATCTGCACTTGAGAAATTATGTAACTCTTCTAATTGTAATATTAGAGTACTACTTTATAATTTAAAATCGTTAGTACTCTATCTTTAGTAAGGTGCATTCTATTCACCTAAAGTTATTTAAACTTAATTTATCAAATATGACCATACTCGTTTATCCTTAACTTTCATCTTATTGTTTATACATAATTGAACTTGATCAGCTTTAATTAGATATAACTAACCCAAAAACTTACTATTATCGGGTGAATAGAACACACACATAACCTAATTTACGTTATACAAAGTGTATTAGGGATTAGGAGGATAAGTATTTGGGTAAATAAAATTCGACACAGTAAACCTCAATTGCATGCTTACCTTTCTCTCCAAAAGAAAATAGGGAAAAAATTAAAAAAAAAAAAAAAAAAAAGGCATGTCGGCCCTATATATTATACATCAATGCTTGTAAAATGTGAAAGATATAAAATTCTGAAATGTGTCCCTCATATTATCTCAAATTTTTTTTTCTTTAAAAAAAATAAAGGGGAAAAAAGAGAAAGTAATGTAAATGTGTCCCATTGGATTCTATATCCAAAGAATAAGTTCACTTAAAGATTTTTATGAAAAAATAATCAATCAAATATCGTATGTGGCCTGTCTTTGACCATATCCAAAGGCCCAAATTAGTAGGCCCCATTTATAGGTGGCGAATGACCTCTTTCTACTTTACACTCTACTCTATTATGTCCACATAATTAATTGAGTAATTAAGAGAACTAATTATAGATTCACTAGCTAATTAGTTGCTTTTTTGAGTTGTTGATATTCCATAATATTTCTCCATTTATTTGGCCACCTAAAAAAAGCTCTTTAAGGATTCTTCTTTTCACTTGGAAAGTACTGGAGTAGCTTAGGGCCTGTTCTGATTGACTGAATTGAGCTGAACTGAACTGAACTGAACTGAACTGAACTTATTAATTAGTGATTTTTAACTACGGATTAGTAATGTTTGATTATTTATTGATTATTTATTACTATACATATGTGTATATACAAATGTACATATTAAAATATTTACGAAAAATATACTATATAATTATAAAATGTATGGAAAATATATTATAAAATGTATGAAAAATATATTAAAAACTTGAAACCTCTAAATATTTTAAACACATATACTATTTAATTTAAAAATAAAATAGTATTAGGACAAAAGAACTAACTGACTATGAAAATTAGTTTAAGTTGTGTAGTACTCTAATTTTCTCAATGAGATTAACATTAGAAATATGTATAAAAAAATAGAACCATTTGAACAATGAATTGTATCAATATTATTATTATTAATTATTGATGATTATTATTATTATTTATTGATTATTATTATTATTGTTAATAATAATAATAATAATATTATTATTATTATTATTATTATTATTGTTGTTGTTATTATTATTATTATTATTATTATTATTATTTATTGATTATTATTATTATTATTTACTGATGATTATTATTATTATTTATTGATTATTATTATTAGTATTATTATTTCAATTATTATTGTTATTATTATTATTATTATTATTATTATTATTATTATTATTGTTTTTGTTGTTGTTGTTGTTGTCGTTGTAATAAGAGCTTAAAAGAATGAAATTTGGCTTTATATCATTAGCAATATCATTAGACATAAATTAAGAGCAGAGTTGAACTGAACTGAACTGAACTGAACTGAATTTCAACGGAACAGAACAGGCCCCGACCCTTACTTTCTTCTTGTTGATAAAGATGGCACGACTAAAATACAATAAATTAACATATAGCTTGGCTACTGTAAGAGCGAAATTAATGTATACTCTATTTGTTTTACTTTTATTGATCACATTTTTGTTTGAGATTAAGCTACTTTATATATTTCGAAAGCTCTATTATTTACTTGATTTGTATAATTCTATAGATAATAATTGACTTTGATATTTGCTAGTAAAAAACAAGTTTTACTAGTAATATATTTGTGTTTTTTTAAAAAATAAAATAACATAGACACCAAACTATAAACATTAGAAAATGAACCCTAGTTCAAAATGCCACAAAAAATTGTGTGAGGAGGGGCGTGTGTGTTGAGTGTTCCAGCGTGCAATAACCACTTGTATTGTCATCGATGTTTCGGCCCAATTCTAAACTCTAATCATTGACAACTCTAATACGAAGTATTATTCTTTTCTATTCAAAATATAAGTCGTACTAAAATAAAAAGTTCATTTTAGCTAATCAAATAAACCATGCTACCTTTGTAAGTAGACCGTATATGTCATTATAGATTGTTTTCAGTACTAATGAGGTATTACATATTTACATGTAACTTTACAGCATTAATAAAATACAATCAAAAGGTTTATTATTCCACTTGTACTCCGTAAAATCAGTATAACTACCAAGTTTTTGGATTAGTAGAGAATTTTGTTAACTTTGAGGTAACTAACAACCTCAGAGAAAAGGGTAACTGACTAACTGCTCAAGTGAGTCTTTAAATTCAATGTTCACCGACCATTTTGATTTCCTTAATACAAGGACATTAGTCTTTCAATTAATATAACACTTGTACCTCTCAGCCTTTAAAACTGCTTCCATTTCTTTTTTGGTTGTCTTAGTTCATTGAATCATTAATTGGGTCACACACTCACACGTAGAATGCCATTCAATTCTTTAACTCTATACTCGGTTTCATACAAAATTTTATGAGATTTTTTTCCAGTTAATAAGGGTCCGTTCACATTTATTGAACTGAGCTGATTGGAGCTGAAGTGAACTGAATTGAAATGAATATTTTATGAGAGAGAAAAATTAAGAGCTGAACTGATTGGAGTTGAACTGACCTGAAATGAATATTTTACGAGAAAGGGAAATTAAGAGCTAAACTGAATTGAACTGAACTGAGCTGAAATGAACTAAAATTAAGTAAATTTGAACAGGCTCTAACTAGGGTTTGTTTGTTATCGTTAAGAAATAAATAAATGTGGAAACTAGTAAATGTGCGCTATCGGTTTTCAAAATTAACATACTACTTTCGTTACATATTAATTATAATTTTGAAATATTTTATATCGCATGATCAATACTCAAAGTGTAACGGTATATTTAAACTCATTATACAATCTAGATTAATACTCCGTAATTTTTTTGTCAAAAGAATATACTTATACTTCGTATTAAAAACTAGAAAGTGTTATACGGAATACTTAACGACCTAAACTTGTTCTTAGCTGAATTTTGGTTTCTCATGTGATATGCATGAGCCCAAAGATCATTAATTTTTCCAGCCCAAAAGAAACTGGCTTCATATCCTTTATTGGCCCAAAGCGTTCACGTCGTAGTCCATGTACAACTCTATTGGATCGGGCCGAGTTCCACTATCCCTGCTAAGTTTCGTTGCACATTAGAGTTTGTACGACTATTTTTTCTTATTTCTTGTTTTTTTTGGTAAAAAACTTTTCTTAAAGCATACATTAAAATATACCTACATTAATATTAAAATAGACAAGATCTTGTCAAAAAAAATAAATAAAAATAATAATAATCAATAAAAATAAAAATCACCCTTAATCCCTTTCCTGGAGTGAGTGAGACCGGGGCGGACTCACGAACGTAGCTACTAGGGGTGCAAGATAGGGTTAAAAACAAAAGCTGTGTTGTGCAGCTACTTCTCGGGTAAGCGGGGCCTTCAAGCATCCGAAATACGCCGCGGTTTACGAGATCATAACTAGAGGTGGGCATGGGCCGTGCCAGTCCCCGAGCAGCATGTGCAGATTGGCCCGGCACGACACAAGCCCGTTAGTGGTACGACATGGCACAGTGACCGAGGAGTGGTCCGTGGTCTGTGTCGTGAACACGAATTCGAGAATCCGAAACGAACACGGCACGAGCTCGTCAGTGGTACACGGTGATTAGGGGATTTTTCCCCACCAATCACCATCTGACAAGTGGACCAATCAGGTTCCGCCATGTGTCCGTCACATGGGCCAATAGGAGCCTGCCACGTGTCAAGCAATGATTCGTCCACTATGGACCAATTACGACACGACACGTGTCCTTCCCATGACACCTGGGATAACCGGTCACCTAGGCCCAACTTCCGTGGGAAGCCCAATCAGCCCAAGGTTAACCTAAACCTAGATTGGCACGTTTCCCGAGGTTATAAATACCTCCCTTAATCCTCATTAAGGGAGAGTAGGAAGATTACACACATTAAACTCTCTCACCTAGAGAGACCCAATCACTTTAATTTCCGCA